AGTATAAAATAGTTAACAGATTATCAGAAATGCTTGAAACTAATGAATGGAAATGCGTTCTTCGATAATAATGAGAGATTTTTCTAGAGAGGAGGCAAAATAGTGTCAAATACGTAGATACTCACACGACATCCATCTCGTCGTCCTCGTCAGCATGAGTTGTTTCATCGTTGGTCAACGTGAAATATGGATTGGCGGCTGCTGCTCGGAACTTATACCCAGTAAGAACAAAAAAGACGTACGTGGACATTTCTCGGAACATTTCATCTAACCATTCATATTGAAAAGGTACTGTAATCTGTGAAACATGGAGCATCAAAAGTATAGTCCTTCTTTAAAGTAGAGAACGGCAATTACACAGTACATGCCATACCTTAAGTAAGTACACTATGATCCTTGTAAAGTAAATATAAGAAAATATCATAATGTAGAAATGCTTAAAAAGCTTGAGCTTGCGTAAGTTAATGGCTGCTTTGCCATCTATGTGTGCAGCTTCTTCCACGTGCTTGATACTCCAAACAACCGGAAATATAATAGCACCGCAACAAAGCAAGTCCACGAGAATAAAAACGTCTCGCCAAGTTTTATACTCGATATCTCCTTCTTCGCTTTCTTCGATTATTATTTCTGCTACGTTTGCTAATACCTGACAAATGACGATACATTACACCACGTATCTATCAATTCACTTCCCTTATCTCTTTCTCTATACAAATATACAAACTTGTAACGGTATCGCGATCATAAACAGCTTCTTATCTTTGTCAGCTAAAATGTGTTTAATAAACGTCCATCCAGTGCCAATTAATACAATGGTAATAAAAAGTACAGCTCCTTTCAGCAAATGCGTGATGTAGTACAAGATTGCCCATGCGGCAACGTGTTCTCCCTTTGTTTGAATAAAGTGATAATTAATCCCATGGAAGAATAACGACATCGCCTTCAAGTGTACCAAAACAGCCATTAGATAATGAATTTTGAAAACAGGGTGCCTGCAAGGAAGATTGAATCGTGAGTTCCAATCGAGGAGAAAAGCTACGTTGTTCAAAAGAAAAGAAAAATCAAGCGAAAGTCTTACTTGCTCCTCTTGAGGATAAACACCCAAAAGCAACCTGACAGAAAGAACAGAAGTGACATGATAAAATATAGGATTGGTAAAGGCATTTCACCTGCGCTGAGGAAATTCCCGTTGTTGATTTCCGATATTTGTATCTGCAAATTATTATATACCTCGTTTCGTCGGTTTTGTCCGAACATAGTATTTTCTTTTTTAAGTTGAAACAGTTAAAGGAAAACGCCTTACCGTGAAATCCAACGCAACTTGCGAATCGTACTTGTAATTTGGACAATTATGGAAATAAAGATTATAGAGACCTTCCTCTTCCTCGCTGGCAACGTACATTGCAAAGCTGGTATTGTAATATTTCTCTCCTCTTATGGTCTGCACGGTCATTGGTAACTTCAGGCGAGAACAAACGCTACTCTCCGACCTCGATTCAAATTCATCTTCGATAACAGTTCTCTCGATACCTGTGGAAATTGCACTATCATTGATAAGCACACGTATATACGTAATATTTCCAGAGGACACTGAAACAGTATGGGAGGAGAACGTACGAGACGTTCCATTGTTTCGCTTTGATATCCAGGTGAAAATGATTTGACCGAATATCGGCCGTAACTAGAATCACCGGTTCAAATATTTATTGGCATGAAATGTACTACTCTAGAAGATAGTTACCTAACCAAACCTTTAAAAATACTTGAGTTTCGAGTTATTTATAAGATTGAGGACGAGTCGTGTTAATTATAGCGACTCTCATCTTGGTGCTGTTCGATCACCGATGTCGCTTTCAGGGTCCACATTCCATGAAATATCGATCATATTCGTTTCTAGTTTTTAGCAGGCCGTGCCAGTCGCTTTCAATTGGCAATGCAACATTTCAATTATTTCTATACTTGCACAATTGCCTACCTATTGGCGTTAATATCGGAATCGATAACGTCACGCTGGAACGTTCTATGCGCGCAGCGTTGCTACATTTCGCTATTGTCGTCGAAACAATCGACTAAACAAATACGTTAAATGTCTAACAAGATGGATATATGCAAAGTTCAATGTCAAATTCAATGAAAACGCACGTACACAATAGTATGAGGAATCAGTGAGCGAGCGCCAGTGAACGCGTGCCACCATCAGGATAATTTATGTACATAAATAAGAATAAAAAAGACTGTTAAGTAGCCTTTGATCCTTGCAGCAAGTACGAAAGCAAATGTACCAATATAAATTTCCTTGCACAAGAAATATGAAGCATCCCAAGGTCAATGCGATCAATGTAATTCATTGCCAGCTTCTCTCACTTCCCACCTGTTAGGTTCACGTTGGTGTTGTGATTGAATCAAGCTTCTAATATTAGTAAGAAACTAGGGTCAAAAATAGCTTGTCGGTATAGCGATGTTTAATTTTAACTTTCACTATTTCAGCTAGCACTGATAAACAGTCGTTAAGTTAACGTCGTCGAGAATTACGGAGGAATGGAAATCTTCTGCTTTTACTGCTCTAACGTTTAGCCCTCTAAGATGGTCTGCTGATATCTTTAAATAAACACGTCCAGAGATCCTCCAGATTTCTAACTGAGATGAAACAAAAATTTATCTTGTCAAATACATTTATCTATCAGAGTACAAAACGGAAATTAGGCTTCAGAGATTTCCTACGAAAATTTATTACGAAGCGTCCACTTTATCCATTCAACGAGATCTTTACCGCGAGATCTCCACCTCTCGCAGTTTGAATGCTTGCCAAACTTAACAGCGTGTTACACCTGACAAACGTATTAAACCCTTGCTCATCTTTTGTAATAACGCATGCTTCTAAAACCAAAGAAGTTAAATGTAACTGGCATGCAGTTCTCGAACGTTCGAGTGAAATTTCTTTTACAAATTGATTGACAAAGTACTCGACAATTACAACTGTTACTTAACACTAAACGTACCAAGCGGGGTCAAATGACCCCTTTTCAAAATTT